ATGACAAACCAGAGGAGTTGGTTTCGCATCAGAATATATTCAATTCCAATAGACTTTTAGCCCCTCTATCCGATTAAAAGGATGTTGCGCACACACTGCAATTGCAAACAGTCAGGAATCCGAAGATGTCATCTGAATACTGGTCAGGTTTGACTGCTGCGTAGTGGTAAACACAACAGAACACTGCATCCATGGTGTTTTCCCTACGCGTTTCTCGAAGGGGACTGTGATGGCCTTTGCAATTCATGAGTTCGTTTCACTAGCAGGCGTTAGTTCTACAGGTAGCAGACAGGACAAATATATACACCACGTTCCTCCATTACCTTGTACGTGAATACCTGCTGCCTTATTTTGAGACCGAGTCCAGACTGATAAAAGATAGATACTTTGAACATTCTTAGATACAAACCAGAAGAGATGCTGCCGAAACAACTGTAATTCAGCTTTAGAATGCATAAAACGCAATCGTGTGAAAACAGAGGTATAGAGAAACTCTACTCGTTCAGTAGTGTTTTGACTAACAAACGCCCGGAAAAGTGGAAATGGTCATCCAAGATTTGCAAACTCGGAAGGCTAATGCATGGTGATTTTCAAATGGGTGTTAAACAAGGATGGTACAAGAACGCAACCCTACTCCAATTTCGTGTGAAGTCCAAACTCGGTGGAGATAGTTAAACGGGCCTCCAAACGAAACAAGCCTCGAAAGAACTCACGTGTTTGACCAGACAGTCAAGCTTTCACAGAAAGACCCACAGAACTTCTCTGTTGGCCTAGCGGAAAGCTCTGGTGGAGTCCACGAGCAGTTCGTGTCTATTGTAGCTGTCCTGCGGCAAAAATAGAGCCAATCCTACCTCGACAGCTTCAAAATCTACACTTTTCTTCTAGAACATCCTTGTTCATGATCCTAGCGACCAGCCGAATGCCTGTTGTGCACGAGGCTAACTCCGCCATAGTTGTGAGTCTTCTGTCAGCTCCCTTCTATCTTATAAGCAGGGGCTATAATTACATCCTTTAGGTATTGCAAAGCGTCTTTCATCGCCCGGATTGCGCTTAGGAGCTGCAGGTATCCTTCAAAGTCAGATAACTCGCAGATAAGCCATGTAGTCCAACCACCCTCCAATTTTGCTGCTCACTTATGTCGTTGGCAGTGCTGTTCCTGTTACAAGTATTCAATGCATGTTACGACAAGCTAGTTATATGGTTCAACTCCGTGTAGTCTGGCCAGTTGAGTAGCTTTGAAAAGTGGTGCCTCAAAGCTAACAAAACCAAATCAGAGTTACTGGGTTTTCCACCGTTTTTTGTCTTCTACCAGCTGAAAGCAATAGGTTACGGTCCATTGATTTCCTTCAACCCAGCAAATATTCTTTGAGTGATAGTTTTGGCTCAAACACACGCCTCAATCCTGTGTCTTGTGTGGTGTGACCGTGAAATCGATCTCAAGTTGCGTGTCGTTTATCAGACCCAGAATTGGAGTGAGCAGATGCTCTGGTTCTCGAGTTTCTAATCCCCAACCGAAGTTCCACTACAGTTGCACGCAAACTGATATACACGATGGATTTCTGACTGAACTGAGTGTAGTTGGTAATGTGCCTTGTGTAATGTACTATCCGTAATCGGGCCGTGTTAGAAGTGCGTCGTGAGGTCATATTTAGTGTTGTTAGGAGGCTGGATGCGTTGTAACCAGCATTTGGTATGTCAAGATACGTTGGGTTCAATGAATCACTTGGAGAAACTGTACTCTGCGTCCGGCCTACCCAGGGTAGCCATACAAGTCCAAATCAATATTCACCACAAGTATTATCTCCATGGTTATTCGCATCACAAAAAACTACCGTTCAGCAACGCAGAAAGTGAGCGGTAACTTCCGAGTTGATCAATTGATTTTTTAACTCGATATCGGCTGCTGCGCAACCATGTCATAAGACCCTGTTTTGATCAACCGTTAGGTGCGATTGTGTTCGCACCTCAATCGTGATAACATTGAGCTGAGCTAACCAGTCACTTTACATCCCACCCTAGTCGTACTAAATCGGTGTGGACAGACAATCGATCGATGCTGCTGCTGCTGAATACTATGAAGCAATCAGTAGCCCTGAAACAAGCTCAGGACACCAACAACGATGTTCAACGCCAAAGGACAATGCAAGGTCGATTGAGATGAAGATGCGCTCAAAGAACGCAGTGGCCACTTCCTATGTACCGGTGAATAAATTTGTTAAACCGTTTCGGTTTGTCTGGAGAACTTTTTGCCGAACATTTCCCTATCTCAACTATCAATACAAGGCGTCAACGAGGTGTACTGCTGTCACTGTGGAAACCTGAGCAGAAAATTGTGATGAATGCAGTGACTGATTTTACGGAGTATGGTATCATCAGACAACCGAAAATTCCATATAGGTTTACGTACATCGATAACGCCTTGACGGTTATATTCGCCCGCACTGTAGTGCAAGTTATTCCGCTTTTAGTTCTGCCTCTTTCTCAAAACGCTACGCTTGCGGCACGCCTCAGAACGGATATTCCGATGAGTCGCACGTCGATGAGCTTACACAAAGTAACTGACAAGAGGCAGGCTCTCAGACTGTCCTATGAGCGTCAAGAAATACAATTCCATAATGCAAAGCATTTAGTGCACCTTCGAACAGTCTGTTTTGTCCTGATATTGTGCGCAGGTGTATGTTGCTCCTCAGTGTTCTGATTTCCACTAACTGCATAACTCCATAACATAACCTGTACTGAACGCCATAATTCAATACGAAACATCCAGTCATCAACGGTAATGCCACGGAAAACCAGGCATTCGGCAAGCAGAATCATGCATTGTTATGAAGTTGAAAGAATAGAGAGCATGCACATTTCCAACAAACACGGTAAACTAACTCTCAGCTGTTTCAGGTCACCCACAGATTTTTTGCTATGAATTTTCCAATCACAAGCGACGCGCTACCAACCCATACGTTCCGGACTAACTCCCAGTTTAATCAAGCTGATCATAAGTTCTGAGTCATTTCGAACTCAAACTGCGGTATAACGAAGGGAACGTAGTCGCATGTGCCGTGTTATGGAAGTCATGCGTGTTGTTTAGCCTACCTCTTTTGTACGACCATAAGCCTCGAGCATGCCTCAACACCATAGCCCTCATACGTCACACGCAGCCTTCCAGACAAAAGTAAAACAGTTGAAAATCTATGATGATTTTTCTGCTACTTCTCCGCATTGGAGTAATTCAGTCGGGTTTTCTATACGTATTTAGATGGTGGACTTTCCACGATTTTCGGAACACGCTTGTTCCACTATTGGTCAAAACGTTTAACGCTGATCTGAACTGACTGAACTTAGTATACAAAGTTTTTAATGAGCATCACATTTTACTCTAATAGCTCTACGTAACACGACGCCATGTCACGAGTCAGGAAATAAATAAGGTGTAGCAACGTACATTTCCCTGGTATTGTGATGCTGAACAGCAAAAGAGGGTCCGTTTGTATGTGATAACCGTGAAGCTGTAGAAGGCTTGTTGTTAGCTTCATTCAGGGTTTACACAGACGTCTTCCAAGGGTGCTGTCAGTTTCCATCTTATGAGTACCGTCAAGAAAATGCAAGTCGTTCGCTGCTTCCTGGGAGTTAAGCTGAAAGTACGAAAACACACTGTTACTGGGAAGAAAGCCGCTGCTATCAATGCAAGGGGAACAGCTACAATGTAACAGTTTGCTGTTAGCCATTTCGATGAAGTTCGACGTAGATCTTTTTGAAAATGGTTTGCTGGGAGCCATTAAAAGTGAGCCGGTGCAAAACCTGAACGCCTTTGTCAATTATTAAAAAAGGACCAAAAAATGGAGTCAAGTTTTCCAATGAATGGCTTGGAAAGTTAATCGTTCAACAAAGCTTGCAGTTAGATTGCAAGCTTTTCACCTCTAGTCGAGGTGACATCGTCAGTATCGAGTTCATATAGTTTCTGGACAGTATACATCAACCGTATAGCGACTGGTTGCTCCCAAGGAGGCTTACGCGTGATTTGTTTGATCAGCTTGGAATCTGGGTTGCGCTGTGATCTCAGTTCCATGTATATGGTTTATTCATTGCGCAAATTCAACAAGGCCGTTTTGTTCCCCAACTTGGATTGGGCCGTTGTCTTCTTGCTTTGTGGTCCCATTTCGTTCCACTTGGTTGGTTGGACAACCTATTTTCAGCTTTTTTCTTTGATGTGATTGGTGCGTTGTTCGTCGTTAAGTTGTTCAGAGTAGTCCAGAGTCCCGCAAAAGGCCCTATCGTATACGAACTAAAAGACCTAACCAACAGAATCCAAGAGGCGTGACCGGGTGTTCTGTCGAGCGAGAGTCAACTGTCCCCAAAACCATCCGGCGCACTTCAGGAGTACTGGCTTGGTTTTCCCATCGGACTCGTATGACGCTTTGGAGGCACCGATAGTCACACACAGAGTCTCCCCATTGTCCAAAACAAACACCTGTACCTAGTAGCCCATTCACATCTGAGTGGGCACTACGGGGTGCAGAAATATATCCAGAAATCAGGATTAGAGTGTTGACCAACATTTCACGTAAGTTACAACGGGGACAGCCACACTGGTAATACGGAACAGTGAAGTTTATCGAGCTGAGGAAACTCGACCTACCTGAATGTTCTGAAGAAAATAAATGAAGCCAGATAAAACAACAACTGTAACCTGAAAATGTTCCAAACAACAGGTGAGTTAATAACCTGTTCCTTGCGCGGAAATAACAACATTGATTTCTTGTTGAAAGCAAGCGCAACGACACTGAAGTCTCGAAATACGGCTACGAAAACTATGAAAACATTCTCTAATTGCCAGTGAAACAAACGACATGAAATCCACACAAAAAATCCCGAAAATTAAACCTCACTAACGGAGATAACACAATATCATCCTATGGCTTGAATATACCTGATAGACGGCAAAACATAAGCAGCCACTAAATATTTATCAGCCATCCAGTTTATGATGAACAAGATGATCCGGATCAAATGTCAGCATTTGTAATCTAACAAGCGAACAAAATAGTAAGGTAAAAAAAACAACTAGATCAAGCAAAGGGTAAATACCAGTAGATAATATATACACAACTACAATGCATGTGGCCGTGGAAGACAAACTTACAGTGGATTGGAGAAATAGAAAAAAATAAAAGTAGTTAATGAAGCGAAACTAGGGAATGGGGAGTGCGTAGGATAGATTTATTGCTAACGGTTAACCGACGGATAGTCATCGGTCAATCGAGAATGTATATGTGCAGCTCAAGGGTCAGGACATGATTCCCGTTCGCCGTGTCATTTGCAGCCCCAATTTGCTCAGAATCTGAGGCTACATCCGATGAGAAGCGAATGTGTTGAACCCAAGAGTTTAAAACCGGAAGCAGCATGGAATCCAAGCTTTCGGAGAAAGCAATTTGGTCACTGAGCAAGGCTATCGCCTTATCGCTAGCACCGTCTGGTGCCATGCCACTCACCTCAAATCCAACTTGGTCGGGTGATTGCAACCGAACTCTCAGACCAATTCGCGTGAGGTTTTGAGTACGCAATTCTCCGGCGTATGGATACAGAGCCTGTTGAAAGAAGCGTGTCAAAAACGGGTTAACGGGAGAGACAATGCAGTTGAATTACTGTGTTCCTCGTTATGCGACGAACTACAGAAATACGGTAACATGCATGATTCGACCCAATCATTCGTAACCACAACACAAGGTGAACAAAAGCCAGAGCCTGTTCACATGCATATTACCATTGGTATAGTGTTCAGGGCGGCTGAAAACACAATTTACGCGTATGTTAAAACTGTCAGTGTCTAGTAAACGTTAGGAGAAAGACGTCTATTGGGAGTTATCATGCTAACTCATCCATACTGTCCACTTAGTAAGCCTTATGCTTCAACTCTACTGCTTTTTCTTACATGTCCCGGACTCTTCTGATGTAAGTATCAATGAACTGTATATCACAAACATCCGCGTCCAAGTGAACTTATTGTCATCCATTTTACGACCAGTAATGGAAGAATATCGAATCAACTATTTCAGCGTAGCTGCTATTAGATCCACAAGAAGGGCGATGGCTGATAAATCGTTAGCTGTTCGAACATACACAAGGGTCACAAGAAGCATGTGCAAACCGTAAAACTCTAGGTTAGTGGTTCGCGCATCAACCCCCGAACTATCTAGGCATCGTTCTCCATTCTGTGAGCATCCGATGTAAATGCACATATTCCACCCAGTACGATTATGAGGATTAGCAATTTTGTGACCTGCACCTACCTGCGGCATGCAATTCACCCTAAAATCCAATCCCTCTGCCAATGTAATGAATTCCCGAAGTGGGCACCACGGGCTGCATCGAGCACAAGCGCCCAGTGTGTGTTGACATCCTCAAGTGCAACAGGACATGCCTTGAATTTTTCGCTTCAAATAGAGATCGGCGCCTAACCAGGAATCGTGAAAGATCCTAAGCATCCTTCGTATGAGAGTGAAACCGGATCCTCCGTGGTGTCCTGGTTCTCTCCCTGTGGCAGAACAGGAACCCACAACGTATGAGGTCCATCTGGATAACACCAGAACGTAGTCAACCTGGTGGACTTTGACTGCTGTCCGGGAACCATGTGAATCTTGGGACGATCAAAGTGCACGTTGGTGGTATACGGGCGATTGAGGGAAGTGAAATTAACGTGTTTGTTACGCTCTTCAAGAGGACTGAGACCTTACTTTCCAAGAACAGTATGCTAAGGTATCGCGCAGTCTAGTGCAGGCATTTATCAGCAGCTACAATTAGCATGTGATGCCTGAAAAGTTATCGTTAAAAACATCGTAAAATGGAGCGCACCAAAAAAACTCATTTTTGCTGCGTTAATTAGAACCAAGTGGTATGACAGGTACAACCGTGAGTTTGAATAGTGATATTTGAAGCGTGTTTGTGGTGCTCGAAAGGATCGGTCTGAAGGTCACTGGCGCAGTCTGAGCCCCACAGCTAAGTGCGAGGGTCACATCACATTGACCAGAGCTATCTTGTGAACTACTGTGACTGAGGCATAGACGATTATGCGTACTTGATACATGACTTGACGGATATTCGGAATTCAAGCAGACAGGTTAATCTAAACTTAAAATTGTGAAAGGGACATGACACGCAATATCAACAACGATCTTCCTCTCTCAACACGTGAAAAACGCGTTCCCAAAGTTTGATTGCTTTTTGGTCACCTCAGCCACGGGGACAGCCGAAGGCGTGTCGCTTACTGGGAATGCCATGAAATGAGAAAAGTAGTCGATGAATGACACAGAATAAAGTTTCTTGGGATTTTGTAAAGTGCTACGTTCTCGGCGCCACTGGGCTTCTGTTAAAAAGGACAAAGCAAGACCGCAAAGTTATGCAAAGGTGAAACCAATATCGTTTGGCCTTATACATCACATTTTTGGGACCTAATTATCCAAAGACAGAGGCAAATTAAATGTCACGACACTCCATCCGTTCATATATCTAGAAACAGGTGAAAAGTAGCGGTAGTGGACATACCTAAAAGGCAACTTCCCTGTTGGTTTGCTGATGCAAAAAATCCAATCCTGACGAGTGACATCAGTAGCTTTGAAGCGACTAGTTTATCACATTCCAATACCAACCCCCATAGTGATAGTGTTTAGGTGAGATAAGCAACGGCCTTCCGTGCTTTACAAGTCAAAGGGATTGAGATTTATTCCTTTCTAATTAAAGCAGGTTTCATGTGAACATTTCGAAGAACGAAAAAATGACGAATATTTGAAGAATGAGCGCGCAGATAATGAGGACCTAGTGGGATCACACATGATCACGTACTGGCATTTTTGCCCAACTGTGAGAATCTGTGATACCGTTTTGCTGGTGGAATGGATTGAAAAAAGGAAGATTCAAAACAGGTGGTACTAAAACGGACGTCGGGGTCTGTCATAAACAACTAGCACAACAGACACCGGATTACCGTAAACTGACCAAAATGTTTAGGAAGCTGCATTCTCAGGCTACCGGTATTTAAATATAGTTCTTTCTGGTACTTCTGGTTCACACCCCTAAGAAGCGCATGCGCCCCAAGTTAAGAAGCATTACTGTAGCTAAATCCTAGCGTTCTGGTCAACACTCATCTCAGACCTTCCGCGGCTTAACTCGGAATGTTTCTCATATCTTCGACACAATGTTAGTCGACTGCATTCTATTCCACAAAAGTCTGGCCAGTCCAATTCCAAATGTGCTATATCGGACCTATGGTATAACAGGACAGTGCTCCTGGATCGAATTCAAATCGGTAAGCGGTACTGGACTGAAGCCGAGTCTTCAAAACGAGAACACCCACGTGTTTTACGGCGGAATGTGGTGAGCACTTTCTGGATGTTTAATTCCAGTAGGATACGATCTCATGTTCGCAGAAGTAAAACGGAATACGAATCTGGGACAGTCAATCACCGGTGTTCCAATCGGATCCGGTTGTTTTGTCAAGAACAGAATCCACAAGATTCTGGATACCGCAGGCTACATAGAATAAAACGTTAGGTTGAGCTGAACAACAGCTGAGTTCGGCCTGAGGAGAAATGTTCAGAAATCAATAGTAAATGGTAGTGGGACGGACAATGGAGACAGAGTGGAACAATACTGGCCTCGGTGAAAGCAGCTGCAACCTCGTCCGCCAAACGCCCAAAGCCAAGTGATTCTTTGGACCTCTGGTCAGTTACACTAGCGAGTTCTTGATCAGCACAAATGTTAACCCAGGACCAGACGATTCGAGGTGTTTCATCGATCCCGTTAGAAAAGGCCGCACCAGTTTCCCAAGTCGACTGATGCAATCGCGCAACGCCTAAGTAGTGTACCAGCTGGTAGGCGATTGGCACCACATAGGTGTTGCTCGACTTCAAAGGCTGCAGATCGACCCAACTTTCCTGACAAACAGAAGAAACGTGCGACATACCTTGAGAAAAGATAGTAACATGTGTGAAATGTGAGAGTTACGTGATTTCGGCACAAGGAAAACATACTGAAGCCAATGAGAATTCATTATCCACATTGTTACCACATTCATCCACTGGTTGAACCTAGTAAGTGGGCCAGAGATTAGCTGAGGGATACAAGATTGTTATTTTCGTTGGCAGAAATCCAACCTGGTACTCGAAGGTAATCTGCAGCAAACCTGTAGCAAACAATCCCCGCCAATCACTGATAAATAGCAGGTCTTGAATCTCCATAAAATGTTTGGGAGTAAAGACGCATGTGAATAACCACCTTGGAGGTCACCTTGCAGGCTAGGTTCAAACAAAAGATCCGCACCTGAAGACGAAATGCACATAGATTTTCTAGGGGTATTGACAATGGTGCTTACTATGTCATGTCTTTGGAAGTCGAATTTAAGAGGCCCTCCGATCACATTCCACACCGCATTTGCTTTTCATATTGGTTTCACTGACATTACCTCTCATGAAAGAATACTCATTAGGTTGCGGAAAAGTCTTCGAGTAATGTTCCGTCGAGGAAATGTACTGCGATATCTTTGATATTACTAAATGAAACATGGAGCGACCTTTGCGCAGTTGAAGAATATCGCAAACGAGAGACGCAGCGGGGACTTCCCTTTGAAACCAAGGTAGTGTGTAAATGAGTGAATTCAGCGAACTATTTACAGATCTTCTCAGAGTACGGGCTGCTTAAGGGATGCTAGAAGCTAACATTTTCATAACGCAATTCAAACTGATATGAGCAACAAAGACAACTCGGATGAGATCAAGAGGCTCTAGCGCTTCTGACGTGGGATGTGTTCTATGTCTCCCAGTCTCTAGCGGCATTAGACTCGCCATGGTGGCTCAAAAAATCGGAATTAATACAAGTCAGTAGGGTTCAAAGAAAATAGATCAAGATCATGAGTTTGTTTACAGCGTTCACTTTTGAGACCTATCATAACGACCACTTCGAGGACATAGCCAGTGAAGAGGGTGATGTAGCCTGGCGACTGTGTCGAAATGAATCAGTTATGTTGATTCCTCTATTGCAGACGAAGCAAATTGTGGCCATAGGGTGTGCAAGCATAAAACTTGAGAACTCATGCTCTGCGGATTATAGCAAGAATTTAACAGCACCAACCCACAGTGGTCGTTAAGGAGAGTGGCCACTGTACAGATTCGGTTGTTTTTGTAGTTTAGTGACGTTCTTACGATGAGCAAACAGTAATCTACGATATGAACGTACTACCATTTCCACTGATAAAGGAAAAAAAATAAATTACTTCATTGTGAACGGATCTTTACAGCCAAAAACACTGTAGGAGCTACATACTGGTAAGCGCTTTTATATGTAGTCACCAAACCTCACTGAAATCACGTTTACAAATATGGGATTTCTAGTAGCGATGAAGTTTGGACGAATATAAAAAAGGGGGAGACGTATCAAAGATTTAAACCAGTTAACAATAACCTTGTGCTTCAGATAGTGCATTGAGAATCCGAAGTATACGGTACACAGAAATCTGACGGAATTATGACCAGATTAATAACCGATTAATAGAAAAAGAGAAGATATGAAGGACTGAAACACTCAAAGTTACGCGCAGTTGATCAGCGCACAAGCTCGAGTAAGTGAAAGGGACAGACTCACTAAAAGGTGAAAGCATAAACTCATTATGGTGAATATAGTGACAGTTGCACAGTGAATTCATCAACTGAAACAGTACTTTGAAAAAAATATCCTCTGCGGTCGAAACGTTGAAGTGATCTAGTCGACAAACTGGTTGCGCAGTCTCCCACTTCCTTAATAGGTAATGAGTCCTTTAGCAAAACTAAAGTGCGTTTGCTTAACGGTTTCATTATTTCAGTATCCGAATAATACATACAAACAACACATTAGGAACTAACAGTGTAATATACCCCGTCACTAAGAGATTGACCCTTACCGTGGTGTGACGGTTTGTGTACCTCCGTGACCCACTGAGCTATACTGGGTGATGTCCGCACGACACTCACAGTCTTTCATACTAGGCTGGTCAATCGTTATAGGTCTGACCAACAAAGTCTCCCGGCCCTCCAGGTTGGGGTTATAACATGCGGTGATTTGTCCTATGATAACGGCAATGCAGTTGCACTTCCCGACAAACACCGTTGCCTTGCGGTCAGGCTTTCGAGCCAAAGGATTTGGTCTAGGTCACCAATCGTCTTTCTTTCCAGGTCTGGGTGCTCTGGCAGCATCCCAGTCCATGTACAAACATGCGGCTTACGATAAACAATAATCTTATGTCAGCACTCAGCACTAGGGCTGACTAGTTCGCTCGCCGTTCATCACACTCAGTTGCAGCTTCTGTACATCCGATTTCAGCTGCAACTCTAAACACTCCGAAGTCTGTTTTCAAATCCCGAAAGCCGGTCTACTTGGACCCCTTTAATATTCGTACACAAAAGTGAGCAGGATAACAGGTGGTTGTTGCTCGTACGTTGGATCCCGTCTACGTTGATGCATGCTCTGTCAGAAACAAGAATAAGGAAGCAATTACTGTGATTGGACTGACTACTCCGATTTCAGACTCTAAACACTCCGAAGTCTGTTTTCAAATCCCGAAAGCCGGTCTACTTGGACCCCTTTAATATTCGTACACAAAAGTGAAGTGAGTAACAGGTGGTTGTTGCTCGTACGTTGGATCCCGTCTACGTTGATGCATGCTCTGTCAGAAACAAGAATAAGGAAGCAATTACTGTGATTGGACTGACTACTTCCTCGCTCTCTTCCAGGTTCCGGCTGCGCACCTCTGGTGATACACAAGCCGCTGCAGCTGGATATACCAGGATGGGTACTGTATCGAACGACCGAGCAAAGGCGTCTCTACCTGACTGGAAACGTATCTGAAATAATCTCGGGAAACTGGGGTCCATCGCATCCTGTTCATTGTGTCTGCTTACGTCCCAACGGACTGCATCTCAGAATCTGCCAAAGATGATTCGAACACTTTTTTACAACGGGTTAGAAGCTCAAGTATCGTTGTTGTGGCTTGTGACATGAACGCCGAGGTAGGTAGACAAGCGATGCTGAGGCCCGATTGGGTGGTCGTCTTGGATCGGACACGAGACTCACGGACAACAGAGATCGACTGCTTGAGATCTACGCCGATCGCAGACTGTTCTTTTGCGGTACCGATTTCCGGAACAGCGGGAATCGTTTGACAACAAGATGCCCACCAACGAACCAGCCCCGAATCCAAATAGACCACAGTGCCATCAGTTCCCAGAAACGAGGGCCTATCACCGCCAGGTACCATTTCTGGAAATACCAGCGGGACTCCCAACATGTGCTCGTCCACGGCCGCTTTCGATCGCACTATTCAAGTCTACGCAAAAGGCACACACCTCTCTAGGGACCGAGAAGCTAGTGGACCCAGAAATGTAACGAAACTATCATAACCGGCTACCCGAACGCCTGCCGGACAGCGTGACGTCAAATATTAACGACCACTGGAAAAAGATATTCACCGTGTTACTCAGAGCCGGAATTTCGGTTTGCGGTACAACACAGCAAACCTCGTCCGAACATTGGATCTCTGATCTCATGGTGGTATATCAAGGGACATGTATATTAGGCTACAGTGCGGGCTGTTTTCTTGTATGGCTCTAAGACATGACCTGCTCGAGCAGCGGAAGTGAGACGTCTTTAGATGTTCGACAAGCGTGGTCCCAGAAGCACAGCTCGTGTGGTTTGGCGTGGTTGAATGCTTAGCGAGGCAACTAGAAAGCGAGTTTTCCGTTGTGCAACGGGGACTTCCATTGAAGAATGTGACCAGCAATAGAAGTAGAGTTGGTTGGATTATGTATTACTCGTGCTCAGTCTTCGTTTGCTGAAGAAGGTGCTGTTTTCCGTGCCCAATTCAGAGTGGCCGAAACAGACACGTGACCAACCCTTGATTTGGCAGAGGAAAGTGAAACAGATTACGAAACATTTGGGTGCTGCCGGTGTTACTCGCCTTCCAGGATGGGTAACGCGTGATCCCAATGCGCCTAGCTGGAGACGATACAATATATGGCTGCTAATCGATGTCTATAAAGCTATTGTTGTCAGTCTCTATCCAGATCAGCTCAACGAGTGTCCGGAGGTGTACGCACCTCGGAATGATTGTAGTAAGTCAGTACTAAGTCCCTCCGCCGCCCATCTTCATTCTTTTCTTCACAATAAGGCTTCCAAATAAATCGTGATTATACGGCAGCGAAGCATCGTTGTTGAACACTGATGATAGTGCATTGAGAATCCGAAGTATACGGTACACAGAAATCTGACGGAATTATGACCAGATTAATAACCGATTAATAGAAAAAGAGAAGATATGAAGGACTGAAACACTCAAAGTTACGCGCAGTTGATCAGCGCACAAGCTCGAGTAAGTGAAAGGGACAGACTCACTAAAAGGTGAAAGCATAAACTCATTATGGTGAATATAGTGACAGTTGCACAGTGAATTCATCAACTGAAATAGTACTTTGAAAAAAATATCCTCTGCGGTCGAAACGTTGAAGTGATCTAGTCGACAAACTGGTTGCGCAGTCTCCCACTTCCTTAATAGGTAATGAGTCCTTTAGCAAAACTAAAGTGCGTTTGCTTAACGGTTTCATTATTTCAGTATCCGAATAATACATACAAACAACACATTAGGAACTAACAGTGTAATATACCCCGTCACTAAGAGATTGACCCTTACCGTGGTGTGACGGTTTGTGTACCTCCGTGACCCACTGAGCTATACTGGGTGATGTCCGCACGACACTCACAGTCTTTCATACTAGGCTGGTCAATCGTTATAGGTCTGACCAACAAAGTCTCCCGGCCCTCCAGGTTGGGGTTATAACATGCGGTGATTTGTCCTATGATAACGGCAATGCAGTTGCACTTCCCGACAAACACCGTTGCCTTGCGGTCAGGCTTTCGAGCCAAAGGATTTGGTCTAGGTCACCAATCGTCTTTCTTTCCAGGTCTGGGTGCTCTGGCAGCATCCCAGTCCATGTACAAACATGCGGCTTACGATAAACAATAATCTTATGTCAGCACTCAGCACTAGGGCTGACTAGTTCGCTCGCCGTTCATCACACTCAGTTGCAGCTTCTGTACATCCGATTTCAGCTGCAACTCTAAACACTCCGAAGTCTGTTTTCAAATCCCGAAAGCCGGCCTACTTGGACCCCTTTAATATTCGTACACAAAAGTGAGCAGGATAACAGGTGGTTGTTGCTCGTACGTTGGATCCCGTCTACGTTGATGCATGCTCTGTCAGAAACAAGAATAAGGAAGCAATTACTGTGATTGGACTGACTACTTCCTCGCTCTCTTCCAGGTTCCGGCTGCGCACCTCTGGTGATACACAAGCCGCTGCAGCTGGATATACCAGGATGGGTACTGTATCGAACGACCGAGCAAAGGCGTCTCTACCTGACTGGAAACGTATCTGAAATAATCTCGGGAAACTGGGGTCCATCGCATCCTGTTCATTGTGTCTGCTTACGTCCCAACGGACTGCATCTCAGAATCTGCCAAAGATGATTCGAACACTTTTTTACAACGGGTTAGAAGCTCAAGTATCGTTGTTGTGGCTTGTGACATGAACGCCGAGGTAGGTAGACAAGCGATGCTGAGGCCCGATTGGGTGGTCGTCTTGGATCGGACACGAGACTCACGGACAACAGAGATCGACTGCTTGAGATCTACGCCGATCGCAGACTGTTCTTTTGCGGTACCGATTTCCGGAACAGCGGGAATCGTTTGACAACAAGATGCCCACCAACGAACCAGCCCCGAATCCAAATAGACCACAGTGCCATCAGTTCCCAGAAACGAGGGCCTATCACCGCCAGGTACCATTTCTGGAATACCAGCGGGGACTCCCAACATGTGCTCGTCCACGGCCGCTTTCGATCGCACTATTCAAGTCTACGCAAAAGGCACACACCTCTCTAGGTACTGAGAAGCTAGTGGACCCAGAAATGTAACGAAACTATCATAACCGGCTACCCGAACGCCTGCCGGACAGCGTGACGTCAAATATTAACGACCACTGGAAAAAGATATTCACCGTGTTACTCAGAGCCGGAATTTCGGTTTGCGGTACAACACAGCAAACCTCGTCCGAACATTGGATCTCTGATCTCATGGTGGTATATCAAGGGACATGTATATTAGGCTACAGTGCGGGCTGTTTTCTTGTATGGCTCTAAGACATGACCTGCTCGAGCAGCGGAAGTGAGACGTCTTTAGATGTTCGACAAGCGTGGTCCCAGAAGCACAGCTCGTGTGGTTTGGCGTGGTTGAATGCTTAGCGAGGCAACTAGAAAGCGAGTTTTCCGTTGTGCAACGGGGACTTCCATTGAAGAATGTGACCAGCAATAGAAGTAGAGTTGGTTGGATTATGTATTACTCGTGCTCAGTCTTCGTTTGCTGAAGAAGGTGCTGTTTTCCGTGCCCAATTCAGAGTGGCCGAAACAGACACGTGACCAACCCTTGATTTGGCAGAGGAAAGTGAAACAGATTACGAAACATTTGGGTGCTGCCGGTGTTACTCGCCTTCCAGGATGGGTAACGCGTGATCCCAATGCGCCTAGCTGGAGACGATACAATATATGGCTGCTAATCGATGTCTATAAAGCTATTGTTGTCAGTCTCTATCCAGATCAGCTCAACGAGTGTCCGGAGGTGTACGCACCTCGGAATGATTGTAGTAAGTCAGTACTAAGTCCCTCCGCCGCCCATCTTCATTCTTTTCTTCACAATAAGGCTTCCAAATAAATCGTGATTATACGGCAGCGAAGCATCGTTGTTGAACACTGATGTCATGCTGTCGATGATGAGGATTGTGACTTTGCCAGAGTCCCAGCAACAGATTCTTCCTGACAGAGATCACAACTCGAACTGACGCATCATCTGATGCCAGGTGAAGTTGAGTGTCCGTGCAGAACGAGAAGCTTGGTGAACCCAAAAGGCCGAAGGAATTCAAGATGAAAAAATGCTTGGAACCTACGCAAGCTGTCCCACTTGATTCGTTTGACTGGTCCTCAGAAGTCTCTTGTCAGCTAAATTATCAAGGACTGAAATGGCTCTCCGAGGTACAGCAAAGTGGAAGCTTTAGATCGCTGGGGACAATGCTTCGAAGAATAATTCAGTTGGCCACCTGCTACATCCAATCCGAAGTTCTGGGCTTCAACAGAAAACTGGACGGTGTATATGGAGCCACCTTCAACCTCATAAGTATCCCAGTGTATATCTCTACTCAAACATCATCGTGCTTCTGGTCCTGTCGACCTTAAGATGCTCGATTCAAGGGTGGCAGCAGGTTTCTCAGCCAGTGCCTGTCTAGCATATTTGTGCCTATGTGGGAGAAAGAAACCGTTTCAGACAACTGGAGTGAATCAGTTATAGTGCCCATTTTCGAAGGGGGTGCTCGCAGTGAAACCACAGAGGGGTTAGTTTGACTCCCGTTGTAACAAGGCTTCTAGCGTTACCAAATCTTCACACGCCACGTGTGTAGACGACCCACGATCGTAAGAGTACATTCGATTCTCTCGGTGTCAATGCTGCTAGCTATACTTGCTCAATAGGGTATGTTCCAGAATTTGTGAACCCAATCCGAACACTATATTCACATACTTCTGGGTGTTTAAGGGTGTATGGTGAACTCTCTTAAAGCTTCCGACAAGGATGTCCACCATCTATTCTTGTTCAACTGTGCAATTGATGAGGGTCTTCAAAACCCCCTGGTGAGAACCTTGTCGATCCGGAGTACACAGACGACATCGTCCTCATCTTTGAAGACAAAGACCCAACACAAACTACGTTGAATAAACTGACCATAACACTATCTTCCTGTATGCTCCTAAAAATCGTTCAGCTGTGGCACCTTTTCAGTGCCATGCCACACGAAGGAGGCACGAGGACTTGGATACTGCCAGGTCGCCCCTAAAACCTTCAAAGTGAAGAGTCTGACTGAGTGCTTGCAGGCGCAGTCACCTCAGAATGCTTGACATAGGCCGGCATCAGGTCCTCGCCCTCACCCACTTTTCTTTTCATTCAAAGGTTATAAAAATAATTAGACGAAATTCGTGGTTGTTTGGCATTGAAGCACCAGTGCCAACACTGATACGTACGCACAAGTCACGCGATTTCCTTAACTGGCAAAGTAGACCCGAATTACTTGAAAATTTCATACAGATACAACTCGATGGATGTGGTATAAAAACTAAACCAACACCACTGAGCATGAAGAAAATATGACTCACGATGAACTTACAAGCAAGAACTCAGCGGGTTCCATCGCCAAAGCAGTCGTGCTTGAATTTATCCATTTTAAAGTAAGTTCTGGAGTACTTTCGCCTGGTATGGCGAACTCAGATCCTGCAGAAGCATTGTGGACGGACTGAGTCACGTGAAAATCGCGACGCACTTTCAAGCTTGAGAGGAGCTCACCAAATTGACATTTTTTTAACTGTACCAGCAAACCATCCTCCACAATGTGAACTCCAAACTGTGACGCCACAGAGAACACAACGAACGTAGCACCAGTTTTCTCGAAAAGAAACAGGAAGTGGAAGAGATGGGCGAGGTACGGAAATAGGGGAGGGACGGACTGAGATCAGTGAGTATCGGATGACAACCTAAATAAAATCCCCGGTTGTGGGAAAACATCTATCGGAACGGCAGCGTTTATTAGCTGGTGGAACAAAAAACATCACGTGGTGCCCTCAACTTCCGTCTTTGAGCTGCCTTTGTCGTTTGATTCTAACACATGTAGTAACCCAACCTTGATCCTCCTGTGTGATTTTAAGATGCTCTGCCCACTGGCCAAACTGTACCTTAAGGATCCAGCCCCCCCTGATCTGAAGTTTCCCATAAGTTCTCAGCCAGAATTTCGGACTCACTTGCAAGCTGGGTTGGCGTTGGTATGAGACACCACGGAAGTCTTTCATGTAAACAAGTTTGATGGAAATTCGTTGAATGAACTTTTCTGATAAACCTCAAGTGATGAAAACACTATACGACTGTCCAGGGGTTTGTATCACAGTACTATATGAAATAGCACACGATATAGCATAGTAGGAAGTGGATTACGTATTGCATGGTATAGTGAAATATGACACTGTACAGTACAGTACAGTATAGTATGGTAAAGTCGGTCAAAGTAGCAAGTGCTATATCTACATTGTAACCCCACGAACTTGTGAATGGGATGAGGGGTGAAATCCAGGAGAATTCGTGCATTTACCACGTGACCCCTTGAGTGTTGATTTTTCCTACGCATCAATGGCAATCACCGGTTATTCCTCCTACGTGTTTGTCCACTCACGAGTGGCGTGACATACGCATTTTCGCCATAACGCCGTTTTGCTTCCCTGCCACTGGTCCCCCTGCTTTAGGTTTCCCTTTCCTGTAGTTATTAATGCAACCTGTTCGTATTTACTTGCGATTTCGACGGATACTGGGTTGCAGCTGCGCATAGTTTGTTAGCCTCAGTAGTGCTATAAGATCCAAAGCCGCCGGGGCCTCACACAGGGTTTGTGTAAAGGTTGCTTGAAAACCAAAGTAAAGTGCACACAGTAATACGCCGTGGACTGTTTGTTCAAGCTGACCATGCGCTGACCTGACAAGCTTTAAAGTCGACCTAAATATCAGGTGCTTTCAGAGCGCCAAAGACGACAAGTAATCTGGAATGCTTAAATCAAACTTAATTTTACGACGGTTTCTCGCATGAGCTGAGCGACAACAACACAATTTGGGGTGCTAGAGATTTTGAAGCTGGAATACAAGCTTCATAGTCACCTATCAGTCATTTCCTTACAAATCCAATGATGCCAGCCGATATATCAGAGGACGAAGACCAGGGTCCCATGTACCCATCAGAAAAACGTAAGGCCGTGAACCAAAGAGAATCGGGGCATACGCAGTGGGCGACGAACCACATTAAAAACGGGTCGACTGGCTGCTAAAGCGGTTTTCTGGTACCGTGACAAGCAAAACTAATCGCTTTCCGTTCAGTTAAATTTACACTGACATACGGCATCAGCGAAGTTGCTAGTCCGACCTAGCTGGCTTGAGGGTTTATCAAAAAGCCTACCGAGCTCCTTACAAACACGGTCAGATAAAGATTATCTTACCTTCCTAGCCACATTAGCGATTGAAATGGCTTCGGTGAAGTATTCAACCTTTTGTGTTGGCGAAGGACTGTCTGCCAGTGCCGTCAGCTTTTCTCTACCCGGCGAACAAGTAGCAAGCGAGGAACATGATTGAATGCAAACAAGATGGGAATCAGAATCAAGGTCAAGACCACCTAGGAAGATGAAGGTACTGCAGTCTGAAGACAGGGTGGAAATAAATCTACGCAGTTTCCCCTCGACCTCGACGGGTATCTGGAACGAAAGGAGAAAAGTAGCGAAATTCAACATAGAAAGAGAGAATGAGGGGATGGACATAGGTCAGTTAAAGCTAGCCGTGTAAATTGAGCTGTCTTAGCGGCAAGCCGAGTTGAGGTAAATAAAAATGGCAGGTTTACTTTGCAAAAAATATCATCGAGTGACGTGAAGCAGGCATAACAAAATTGGAGCTGTGGTTCTACACAGCACTTTAATAGAAAACACTATTGTGAAGCAGTGCTGTGCTTTGGTGATTGCGATGAAGCGTGTGCAACAAAATTTCGAGGCTCAGCGAACAATTCGATCACGACCAGAAAACATCAACAAGCATAAACCAACCTCAAATGTGGTTGCTCATCTGCTTAGGTCATGATGACAAACCCACCACAAGGAAAAACATGCCGAAGCACGTGAAACGGTCAAGCATGTAAGAGGACTGAATAAACCAAGTAGGTCAAACAAACGGGCACAAAGGAAGGGTGGGAGCTAACAAATGAGAGCATTAACCTGTAGAGGACACGTGTGGTTTTAACCCGCATGGTCCCGCTAAGCAGTCTATGATCAGCCAATAAGCACCCACCGATCTCGTGGACAATTTTCAGTAGACACATCACAACGGACACGAATCAAGTTGTGATCAGATCTCATGGGAATCGCATCGGCGACAAATTGTTCGCGGTAAGTGATCCAAAGTGATTGTTATCTGATCTTTCTTTTATTTAGGATCTGCTTAGCCGGAATTCCCCGTCGGTCAAGTACTATTTCTCGCACAAATACAAAAGACCTACCGTACGGGCCCAGCACTGCACTTTTACACACCAACACGATAAGCAGTTGCAAGTGGCCTAAGATGTCGCTGCAGTTCCGATGTTAATGGGTCTTATGGTGCCGGACTCATCCAGTTGTCATGCACCATGAGAAGTTTGCTAGCGATTCAGCCATATTTATCTCGTTGTCATTGTAAATCTGAATTGTGACTTATCGCGTACCAGTGTATATAAGTGAATGCAACATGATTAAGTGAATCAAAGGGCTGCTGGAGTTTGACGTCTTCATTCTACATGATATTACGCTGTCGATCGGAATATAATTTCGAACCGACCGTCGATCGTTCCGGCAGGTGTACTTGATCTGGCGCAAATCCTACGAAGAATGACTAGTTAACAAAGGAAGAATCATCATGTGCACCACAAGAGTTTGGATACTCTGACTGCATTTGAAGATAAAGCCCCATGGTTATTGTCTTCTGCAGCCTTGCCGAAAAAAAAGGCTAGGTCATCCATGAGCATCTTCTCTCAGTTCATTCAAGCATGTTCAATTGGCCAAAAACATCATTACGTCCATTACAAATGGGCTGTTTTTGCCGACCGTAAGTTAAACACTTTCTGATCCGAGCAAGGATCTCAGTCCAGTAAAACATGCATGAAGGCGTCCGTTTTGCACAACTTAAGGGATGCTGAGTAGCACAAAGCGGCAACTGCTAATACCCACCACTGTGTTCACCGATCGCTGGGTGACGAGCGGCAACGCTGAAATGACTACAAATTCTGGCGCTCTACGACTGCATTGTTTGAATTTCGACATCTTATGTGCAGTACTACTACAGTTGGCCACCTTCTGGTCTTGCCTAACGTCCAACGGATGCAGATGGTTCGAAAAATGACATTTCCTACCACTAAAAAAAGATTCATCACATTCGGGCGAGCAGGCAGAGTTTGAGTAGCTTCACGTCATTTGAAAATGCACGTCCTGTTATTTCTTCCGATAAGGTGTGAAATTGATATGAATGAATCACTTCCAACTGTGTTGACACCCTGCGTTCAGGCCCAAAGCTAGTCCTCATTCGAGTGTCCTTTTATTATTGTCAGGATTTGGTTCAAGCAACGACCGATGGTGTCATCCCTGGAAGCATGACTAAATACACCAAACACTGAAGCCATATTCCTCAGCTAAAAAGGAGTTTTCTAGTCAGGCACCATACCATCCAAAGATAGAAGGATTGCTCGATACAACCAATCGCCCTGAGGGCATTAATTACTCTTTAGAAACTATACAAATGCAAGCAGGCATAGAAGAATCGCCCACCGGATGTTGATGCCTCTTCGCATAGTGGAGAAATATTTGCAGGCCAATTGACGTGCTCGGCGAAGAGATCAACTACCATCTGATCAACAGTAAACCCGAATTACCAAATATGAGAAACATGGAGTAAAAATTGGAATAGAGATCGGCTACAACACATATGAGGGAGCAGATTCAAAGATAACTAACCAAGATCTCTAGGGTTTCAGCAGACTGTACATTCAACGTATCGGGAGAGCATAGTCGAATCCGGAGTTCATCTAACCGACACACTTCACGTGAGGGACTATCGGCTGTATCAACGCGCGCATTGTTGCTCAACACCAGGTCAAGTATGCTAGCTTCCGATGAGCTAACATACACCGGTTTTCTGTTCAGATCACAAACTAATGGAGTTGGATAGGAACGGGATGCCTTGCCCAGTCGGAGTAACAGGCGAAGTGGCACCTGTCGTGCCCACATGATTTCATCCGAATGCACAAGTGTCCCAAGCAGAAACGGGCTATTGGGAAGTTGCAAGCCCCGGAGACATTGATGTGTTGGTTTGAACAGGAGCAAACCCGCCCATTCGTTACTCGAACCCGATGGAACAGGATCTCCAGTCACAGTGCTATGCTCAGATGGAAAACGAGCATAGAGAAACGAACCATGTGTGATGCGTGATCTCGCGGGGTCAGAAAGACGTTCTAAAAACGGAATAGTCCAGATAGGCAATGGATGACCATGACTATTCCTATCAGATGTGTGCGAACATCAGAGAAATAGGCACAGAAATTCACCTGTTTGCAAACTAAGTTGGTGTTAACGAGCGACTAAACTCAATTGCAGCTGAATTACTTGTTTACTATGTTCCTCAACTGAATGTGCTGCACAAGGACCACCTCATGTTTCATTAAGTACGACATTCAAGATGACGGAGTACATTTACTTAATATGGCACACTATTCGTGAGGTTGCTCAAAACTCTTCGGCTGCCCAGGATTGCAGTGGGAAGTAGAATTGAAGTTGTTAAGCAAAATTCGACCAACCAACCAAGCTCGTACTGCAGATATCACAATGATCAAACCTGCCAAAATACATTAAACACTCATGGGCGAATTGATTTTGGTGAACCTAAAACTTGCTACCATTGCATACCCCCGATAAGCAAAAACCAATGACCAATGGAGTATTTACCTCCCGATATGAGATGCCTTCTGATGGACATACAAGATAGTCGGGCCTGTTGCTGACAAAAAAATCAGTCAGGTGGGGGATTGCCACGTCCAACCAGTAAACGTCGGTGAGGCCATAAAGAGTTTATCCCTGCACGTTGATCTGGAGGAAGACAACCACAACATGGCTGTTTAGCTAACGATTATGGCTAGCCACCAGCTCATGGACACTAAAACCCTACTCAAGTGAATGAGGAAAAATCGAAGAGTTGAGCTAACTGGGGGTTCATTTAGCTATCAGTATAGCAGATGAATTCATTGGTATGTTAAGTCTGACCTTGTCCCGGGGGTGGGAGGAGACCGAACTTTGAGTCCTACAGAGTGCATTCAAGTACGTGCTTAGCTGTCAGGACTGCCACAGGTATGAAGATACTTTAGTTGAGGGAAAGCGAATTACCTAGTCGGTACACGTAAAACATTCATCTGCTGTACATGGCTCAAGGATCACGGACCAGCTGGATACATGAACTGTGCAGCCGTGCATCTTTGCATCCTGGGCATATAGTGCTTTTACTGCTAGAACGAGAACCAGCTGGGTATGCAAACCTGGCACATTGCTTCATTATGTAAAAAACGCACTAAAACTCCGGTAAGGCACGGCCGGGCTACTAGAACTGTCACTGACTTTGTTCACATGGCTTAATTTGGAGGTAATTCGACTGAATGAGCGTACTAGGAGATAATTCCATGGCAGTTAGGGTGGATCGTCAAAGATAACACTGAACTGTCGTGTTTACACTCCTTTGAAAACGAGTAATGCAGTGCATCAAGAAAATGACACCGAATTATTCATTGAACCAGTAGAAAATCACTTTACAGTGTAAGGAGGGCATCACGTGGGCTAGATGCACTCAGCCACAAACACTCTTCTGGATTCCTGCCCGTTAGCCACGTCTCTCTGGTCAGAACCCTAAAGATTACCGCTGATCCCGGAATATTTATTCCGACAAAGGCTACGTGCTCATCAATCAGTTCCTTCTACGACAAAAAATCCCTGCTAGTCAAACGTATATTCACTGCCAATCGAGGTGAAACGTGACTTTTAACTGACAGAGGAACCCTCACTAAAACTGGCATAATGAGCACTGTAATGAAACGGCTGTGGAGTCCGTCTCCAGTTACCCGTACATGATCACTTCACACGACAAAAGTGTAAAGTGGATAATGATTGGGTTGGAATTGAGATTACCGCTGATACGGCTGACAGCATGATGCAGCTCAAAGCAAGGAGACTGGAGTGTTGATTTCTTGTTGACGAACTCGGCAACCCGACTCCACCTTCATTCCCAACAGATTGAGTTCGACTGACAACCCAAATGAACTACATTTACGAGAACCATATTACTTGCTTACCATTTCACTCGTTAACAATGGCAACAATGAAAATACAAACCGAAAGAAACCGAGCTTCCAATGTGGTGAACTACCATAAAAATAAGAAGCTTTTCCGGTGCCTAGCTGCCATGCCACTCGAAGGAAGCACGGGGCTCTAACCACTTGGGCCATCTCGCACCATAAGAATATAGCATCATAAGAATGTAGTTTCTGGTTCCTTTGATCTCAAAGTAGCTGTACTGGTCGTAGAAGCACTGTAGGGATATCCAATCTATCTGCATCTACCTGGTATAAACATCCAATAACCAAAGCTTTCGACGAAGTTGGCAAAGGAAAGAAGCTTGTCGTCGACAATGACTAATCATATGCAGGCTAAGTATGTCCCAACCGATCAGTTTTTGCACCGGCAAACTTGGAACACTCAAGACGGTGAGACACAAGGAAGACAAATGTGCGAGATATAAACATTACAACCCACCTACAAAAATCCATTTTGCACGGGGAGTGAGCACAAATGGAGCCAGTCTGAACGTAGACGCCTGGCACGTGATATCCACCAAGGACACATGCAGACAAATATTCACTGAAGCCGAAGATGTTTATAAAAAACTGAACATACACTGGTTGGAAGAGAGTTCTCTGGGAACATGGTTGACAGATATTGACCATCTCATGAATATTGTTCTTTGTGGCTTTAACGTTTCCCACAAAATTTGCATACGTCCCCCTACATAACATCTATGTGGATTTATTGTTTCATGCATAGAGAATGTCCACTGGGAGTGTGCAGGTTTAATCATGGATATATTAATGTCACTGCTATGGTTAGCAGTGACATTTTGAGGATCAACTTTGCTGACATTAATCAATACCGCGGATGATACTACAGACACCTTCTCAACGTTATTTGAATATTCACCACTTTATCCCATTGTAATGCTATTCAGTTGGTTGAATTCTGTTCATCCTCGACTCTCAGTATCTGATAGACAGGAAATCAGTCCACGATTATCCTCATTAAACTTTCGTATTACTGGACGTTGTGATAATAAACTAGATTGTTCTATTCACTGAAAAGCAACTTGGATCAGTCAGTTCCTTACCAATAGCATTTAAACGCGGACACGTGAAAAACCTGTACTACGGCACTAGCAACATTCGCTCATGGGAACCTGTCATGACTATATAACCCATACCTTTACATAACCCAGTAACTCGTGATTCTCACTCTATTTTCAGCTCATGTACTACAGTTATTAGACGATTAAAGCGTACATTACGTCTTCCTATTCTGTCTCCTTTCGAAACCCGTCCTGGAACTACTCGACACTCGCAACACGCATTGTGAAGATTTGGTCAACACAACCCCTACCAGGCCGGAATCCCGCTTGCTGCTCTCGAGTCAGTATCTCACGAGCCATCGTAGGGCGACGAAGCACAATTGACGCCAACAGTCTCGTTACAACCGGGGTCAAGCTGATCCCCCTGTGGCTACCACACTCACTATGCGCTCACTCGTCACATCGACCATACAGTGTATGAATTCACTGAGAATGCAGCGACTACGGTTCTGCGATAACCTTGCTGGAAAAACTTTACATCCGCCCGAAAAATATCGTGTATCCACGCCACATACAAACAAGAACATAATCAAGATGTCGACAAGTTCGTTCAAAAACTGAAACCGCTTGCTACAGACTGAATTCACAGCAGTAATCTGCTGTGAACATACAAACGAAGCAGTTCGGGATGCTCTGATAACCGGATTGCAGTCGAATACCATTCGGGAGAAACTGCTAACGTGGGTTGAATTGGACCTTGACAAAGCCCATGAAGCCGCACGAGCTCTCGAACTTGCACAAAAACAGTCACAATCATACGTATACAGACAACCCGTTACTTGTTCGGTATCTACTCCTTTACCCATTGTTAATTCCGAAACAACAGTTTCTGTCCGAGCTCTTATTGATACCGGCAGCTCCAGAAGTTTCGTTTCTTCATCAATCCTGCAAACTCATAACTGGGAGCTATTTCCGTACGACTCTGTGATGACATTGGCGTCGACAATACATTCATGTTCCATCAAAGGTTATTGACTTGTGTCCATTCAGTACAAGGATGCTATATACGAACGCTTCAGACTTTGCGTATTACCGAACCTTTGTGCAGACGTCCTTCTCGGACATGACCTCCAGGGGTTACATGATAAAGTCGAAATTCCATTCGGTGGTCAACGGGGTACTCTAACTGTATGTGGCGTAACGTCCGCAAAACTGGAATCTCCATCCTTATTCACCAATCTTGCTCCAAAATTACAAACCGATCACCACAAAATCTCGTCGTCATACACCGGAAGACGAACAATTCATACAAACCGAAGTAGACCAAATGATTACCGATGGCATAATCGAACCATCGAATTCTCCATGAAGAGCACAAGTGCTCGTTACCCGCAATGCAAATCACAAGGGACGCATGGTGATAGACTACAGCCAGACAATCAATCGCTTCACCTACCTTGACGCTTATCCTTTACCAAGACTCGACCAAATGATTGAAACCATCGCACGCTACGCCGTCTACAGCACACTGCATCTCCAGACTGCATATCATCAGGTTCCAATAATCGAGTCAGACAAGCCATTCACAGAGTTCGAAGCTGGGGGGAACCTATACCAGTTTCGGCGCATTCCTTTTGGAGTGACAAACGGGGTCGCGTGTTTTCAGCGAACGCTGAACAATATAATCAAAGCCGAACAGGTAAAAGACACATTCGCTTATATCGATAACGTCACTATATGCGGCAAAACGAGAGATGAACATGACCGTAATCTTAGGCATTTTCTCGATGTCGCAAAAACATACAATATTACTTTGAACGATACAAAAAACAGCTTCGCAACTGAAGAGATTACTCTCTTAGGTTACAGGGTCTCCAAAGGTATTATAAGACCTGACCCAGAACGCATGCGCCCCATAAGAGAACTCCCACTTTCAGAGAACGTTAAATCGCAGCAAAGAGCCGTTAGTTCGTTTGCCTACTATTCACAGTGGATACCGGCGTTTTCTGACAAAATTCATCCATTGGTTAAAAACAAAATATTTCCGCTCCCGGAGAATGCCCGAACAGCATTTGAGAACCTTAAACACGAACTAGAAAATGCGATGGTAGTTACTGTCGACTACAATATTCCTCTCGTTGTTGAAACTGATGCGTCCGACATCGCTATTGGTGCATCCCTGAGCCAGGGTAGCCGGCCGGTCGCCTTTTTCTCCAGAACCTTGACTGCAAGCGAGAAAAATCATTCTGCTGTTGAAAAAGAAGCATATGCTATAGTTGAAGCGATCCGCAAATGGCGCCACTATCTCCTCGGGAGACATTTTAAATTGATTACGGATCAACGTTCGGTAGCCTTTATGTATGGGAACCAACAGAAAAGTAAAATAAAGAACGACAAGATTGAACGGTGGAAAATCGAGTTGGCAGGGTACAACTACGACGTCGTCTATAGACCTGGAACAGATAACCGCGTTGCTGATACCCTATCTCGTAACCTTTGTGCCAACATTGCTGGGACGGAAAAACTTGAAGAGCTTCACAACATATTATGCCATCCCGGGGTCACGAGATTTGCATATTTTGTTCGTTCTAAGAACCTTCCTTTTTCAGTCAGCGATATCCGACGTGTTGTGCCCAAATGCTCCACATGCTCCGAGCTCAAACCAGAATTTTGTGAC